CTCTCTCTCTCTCTCTCTCTCTCTCTCTCTCTCTCTCTCTCTCTCTCTCTCTCTGTGTGTGTGTGTGTGTGTGTGTGTGTGTGTCTGTGGGCTTGTTCTTCCTACCTGAAACAACAACAACCAAACAAATTAAAAAAGGTCAGCTGTGTAGGCAACCTCTCTCTCTCTTTCTCCTGATCTTCCGGCAGTTCAAAATTCACTACGCACTATCGCGACCGCTAATCCTTCCTCTCCTATCGCGACCGCCAATCCTCCCGATCCCGGTCGCTCGGCACCGCACACACCCTTTATTGGTGTTTCCAATCACAGCGTTCACCCCGATGTAGACGATGCCACGTGGCTGACGACTCTATTCGGACGATGAGCCGCCATAGCTCTGCTCTCCCGTCGCCCCACCCACCCAAGCTCTCAGCAGCCTGCCCTAAGTCGCCAGTCCTCCCTGACCGCTCAGTAATGATACTCATACAGCTAAATTAATGCCACCCTTCTCTCTTCTTGCTCGTTCTGTACTGTTTGCATGTCCTCAAGTTTTTTTTTTTTTTTTTTTTTTTTTTTTGGTCATGTCCTCGAGCTCACCTGAAGGGAAGCGAAATTTGAAGCCATACTCAGGCAGGGGATACTCCCAGGACGCCTTTTCCGTATGTATCTAACGGTAACTGCAGCCAGATATGGATGTACCTTACCTCAATTACGTCCACAGGTGTGTTTAACAGAATTTCTAGTACTAAGGGCGCGGTTCCATCAGCGCCAGCGAATATGACTGGGAACAGTGCCATGAGACAAGTGTATCACCCATTAAAAAAAAAAACAATTTGAAAGGAATTAGATACAAAAACCGACGGCGATTTTCCTTGTCGGTCGAAGACCGTGTGTTTTCTTTTTGTTTTTTTTCTCTCCCTCTCTCTCTCTCTCTCTCTCTCTCTCTCTCTCTCTCTCTCTCTCTCTCTCTCTCTTTTTCTTATTATTCGGACATTATACTCTGTGCACAATCCCAGGCGCCTACTTCTTTTTTTTTTTTTTTTAATCTACACTTTCATGTTATATAGCAAACCTTTCAACAATCCGATCTAATATTATACAGCAAATTTAGAGAGCGGAACGGGCGTAGCGAAGGTGCGACACCGCTCTCCATCACATGAATTGCTCTCGTGTCCAAGTGCTTCTGGACGAGTAACGAGTGCAGATGCGTTTGAAATGTTGGAGCAAGAGGAGTCGCCCCACTAGACCAGACCGTAAGGGCCTATCCGCACCACTGTCGAAAATGCGATTTTCGACAGTTCCTCTTTGCCACGCAGGCTGTCGAAATCAGAGATGCGAAAAGATTTCAGGAGCTGTCAAGGAAAGGGTTCCGACACCTCCTCTCGAGACGGGCTCGTTTCCACTTCAGGCCTGCAACTTGGACGTTTTCAACAGTCCTCGGATGGGATGTCGAATTCTTGCCCGAATGTCGAAAAAGAGAAGGCACCAACGCTTGTCCTATCTTCACCCCAGTTTATCTCTTTTGTGCATAGTACTGCATACGACTCGTGAGTTCTTCACTTGGACATGCTGTGTGGCGAAGAGGGGTTTTCTGTCGAAAGAGGGAATGTCGAATTTCGTGATGTTTCGACTACATTGGTGTGGCGAGGCCCTAAGGGCATAGGGCCCCGACGCAGTACTCTCGACACGCACAAAAGACAAAAATATTGGCCGTGTATCTTTCCATATTCTAGCGGAAGATTCACTCTCGTTTTGCACATTTCGAGAGTAGTGCAGCGAGGCCCATACTCACCCTGAGCAGTTTCCTAACGGTATCTGGCTATGGTCCTCGCTACAGTACTCTCCACATTCACAAAAGACAGAAAAAATGGCGGTGTATCTTTCCATGTTCTAGACGAGTGTTCATTTTCATTTTGCACATTTGGAGAGTCGTGGAGCGAACCCCTATAACCACCCAACGCGGATGTATATGATAAATCGCATCCACAGCTTTTTTTTTTTTTTTTTTCTTTTTTTTCTTTTTTCTTTTTTTCTTTCAGATCTGAATTTTAAAAGTCAACAGTAATCAGCTGGCCTTGCTGAGTTGGTACATCCCTGAACTGAACTGTTGACGAAATGCAGACCAGGTGCTGAGTTCGAACTACAATGGAAGCAGATGAGTAAAATCACAATAAATTCTGAATTACCTAGGGCCGGTCAGTTGAAATGATTTTCTTTTTTTTTTTTCTTTTTTTTTTTGTGAACAGTTCAAATGATGTTATCTCAAGGCCGTTGCCCTTTTTATTTTTTTCAAAGGAGGGAAAAAAAAGAAAAGGCACCGTAACCAGCTGGCCACCCTGGCCTTGCTGGTACACCTGTGAACTTTTGAACTGCAGACCTGAGGTTTTTTTTTTTGGGGGGGGCAGACCTGAGCTCGAACTACACTGGAAGCAGACGAGTAAAAATAGAAATAAATTCTCCTACGGGACATTAGACTCGGTTTCCGGGGCTGTGGTCCCATTAGCAAAGAGCATAGGATTGAATGCCTGAATCTGGACGTGTTTGAGGACAGCAGCAGGAAATCGAGATAGAACTGGTTTTCTGTATCTCTGCATAAAACATAGCCAGATTCAGGATTTCTATCCTATCCCCTTTGCTAGTGGGACCACGGCCCAGGAGCCTAAAGCCGAGTAAGGGCCTCAGCATGTTTGTACGGGTTGTTTGTTGGGTGTGTTCCCGGGCCCTGTGTGTTCGATGCAGTATAAAGTTTGTTGGTGAAAAAAAAAAAACAAAAAAAAAACACAATAATCCGGAATTACGTACGCTGGATGATGATAACTCGAGGCAGTCGCACTTTATGAAAAAAAATGTCGAGAAACAGAAAGCGAAAAGGAAAAGAAAGAAAAACATAAAAGGAAAAAGTCACCGAAAGGTTCAAAGGGATATTCGGAATAAGAACTTTCGTAAATGAATCCGACCGGGTAAACGGGGAAGATACGCCCACCTGATGACCCCAAGTATGTCGAGAGCCGTATGGGCCTCGCTGCAGCACTCACAAAATGTGGAAAATGAGAATGAATCTTCTGCTAGCACATGGAAATATGCACAACCGCTCCCCCGAAAAAAAAAAAAAAAAAAGAAGAAGAAGAATGAAGTAAAAAGCACCGCCGTGTTCTTATCCTTTGTTTAATATGTGGTGAGCAGTGCAGCGAGGGCCTATCGTTGGGGTCGCACGCAGTCCTGCCTGAGATTTTGGAAAAGTCAAAGGTCAAGATCATTCCCAAAACAAAAACGATTCCCCCAGACGAATGAGAGCACAGACAGAATATGCTGACTACAAAGGAACACCCCAAAAAAAAAGAAAAAACGCTGTGCCCCTGTAGCAGGTCTAAATAGCACGGGTTTCCCAACCAACAAAAAACAAAAAACAAAATAAAATACCACCAGGGCTCCACCCTAATCCTGAGGCTGAGCCGTGCCACTGTAGCAACTATCAAAACCAAAGATTAAAATAAACAAGCCCAAGTAAGGCTATAAAAAAGAAAAACGAACCCTGGAGCATAGCTCAGTGGGTACACCAAAGAAGTGTTGGAATACAGACCCCGAGTTCCAATCCAGATGATGATGGAACTTAGGGCCTCGCTGCACTACTCATGACTCGTGATTTTCTTCACGAGTGCGCCTTGAGTTGTCAGAGGCCCGAAACGACCTAGAGTGCGGTCTTCGCTGCACTTACTCTTGGCATGTCTCCGATTGAGTTACTCTAGAAAGGCGGACACGGATTTCACGAGTAGTGCAGCGACGGCAGCACTGTAGGCATTTCTGGGACTTCGTAGTACCAGGATGTTCCCGGCCCGCGCTTCCCCGCATCCAGCTCCCGCCTTCCCTCCCCCCTGGCCCGAAAAACAGGATTTGTACAGGCCCGTTCTGCAGCCTCCTCCGCCCCTCGGCAACTGGGCACACTCCGCACCCAGTGTCGTCCCCACACCCGCCGCACTTGAACCGGAAAGCAGGAAATGTACATGCGCGGTAAAAAAAACACGGTCCCACCACGGTGGGACAACGCACGCTTGTGTGAACAGAAGGCATTCACGAGTGCTCTAGAAGCACTAAACGACAGCCACGGCGGTGTGTTGTCCGCCCAGACCCGGCTCGCTCTTGGAATCCGGCCGCATTTCAAGAAACGGTCCGACCTCCCTTGGAAAAACGGGAGTTGCAGGCAGGCTACCAAGAGCACTCTAGTCGACTTTGCCTGACGACTACCTGACAGCTCGTGAAATGCTTTCTCAAGAGTGACGCGTCATGAGTAGTGCAGCGACGACAACTCTTGTCTCTTGCAAGAGTTGCATCTGACAGCTCTTGACGTGTGAAACTGCCCCCTTTTCCACGAGTAAGTGCAGCGGTGCGGCGGTCTTGAAAAAGTTCATTTCACGAGTAGTGCAGCGAGGCCCTTAAATAGTCAAACCAAATATTTCTGAATTGCCCAGGGCCGGACAGCAAATGATGATATCTCAAGGAGGTCACCCTTTCACCCTTTTTGCAAAACAACAGCAACAACAACAACAACAACAACAACCAAAGAGTCGAAAACAGTACCTCTGTCCCTCCGGACATGGGTTAAAATCGGGACTATACAGAGAAAGAAGATAAGCATCGGCCCCTGCGCAATGGATG